TGCCGCTCGGTAGTGTTGTCTTGAGGGCGGTGGCGGCGGCGACGTCTTCGCAGTAGTTCGGAGGCATGGGTGGTGATTTAGCGACGGCGACGGCGAGAGAAGGAGAAGAGACGATTTGGGCCAAAATGGGGTTGGGAATCAGTGGGGGATGGGGTGATGAAATATATAGATTTAAAATTTTATTAATTACAATTAAAAATCCTATTTACCACCTGATTTTTGAATTATAAACTTTATCCCCTTATTTTTGAACTGTAATCATGAAAAGAAAGGATTTGAGTAATTTTCTCTTCATATTTTCTAGAGGAATCCACACAAAGTTGGGCTGGACTACTATTGGGCTGTTCAATGACCCAACTATCTTATAATTGTTTCCTTTTTTTTCTCTCTCTCTCTCTCTCACTTTATATTTTTCAGTCATTAGGCCTAAAAAAAAATGGATACTGATTAATGATAGTCTAATTGTGCCTATTGAGGATGGTGTATATAATAATATTGATAACGATTTATTTAAGAGATGTTTTTCAAAGTATGAAAATGAGTAGGTAATGTTTGTAGTAATTATATTCAAATATTTTCATCAATATTATGCTGCTTGAAAAAATGTTGCAATTTAATTTTTGACCCACAATGTACTCGACACGACGCCATACCAGATACATATTGATACCTGGTTGATTGGCGAATAGATGTTGAGATAATGATTTTGTGTCACAGTAAAACACATGATTGAGTCAGTGTAAAGTAGCTTCAGATATGCGACAATGACAATCTTTAGCACTCATTAGACCCAGTCCCGACACTCGCCTTTCAGCTTGGAGCGAAAGACAAAGGAAAACAATCGGAAGAGCTCACAAAGCCGTGGCCACAAGAGCAANGGTTCATTTCAAAAATTATGAATGCAAAAGTGTAAGGCTGATTAGTGAGGTCTTAAAAACGTCATACAATGAATGATCGGTCATTTCATTTTTGCTTTCAGCAATTAGGTGACGCGAATCTATGCTTTAAAATATTTGCCTCCACCACTGATTACAAGCTGGAGAGGGATTAGCTGACATTTGGTATATTAATATTGTGTTGCCAGGGTACAAAAATTGAGGAAATTACCACCCTTCACATCTTATGTTTAACAACTTACCAATTTGCTTTGCGTACTTTTTAGAAAATAGTGTTACAAATTGTAGGAAATACTGTTCATAATTTGCATTGCTTCATTCACGCTGCCTCCACCAACTTCTGTTATCTCCAAAACACCACCACCACCACCTCCAAAAAATCTCCATCACGATGTCAGATCTTCCCCACCTTGATCCAAATTTAAATATGAAATTTTCACATTTGAAACTCATGGGAGTATGTTAATGGGATGAGGATCTACAAAGTGTTGAAAGATGAATTTTGAGGGATGGTGATAATCTGCGGTAGTTGTTCATTATACTTAGTTTATCCAGAGACTCGTGATCTAAAGATTATAACGTGATTTTCGGCAATAACTTTGTAATTTTTACCTTTGAATATGTGCTCGTAACATTATTTTCTCTTGCTCATTTCAAATCTGTAGTGATTTTCTATCAAATGTGGTGGTAGAGGTGTCAAGACGGACTGACCGCTAGACTTGTGAAAATCGGGACCACGGGTTGACCCGTGAACCGTGCGGGTTTCGTGGTTTGCACCCCCACGAGCCGCGGTTATCCCGCGGCCTATAAAAAAAATTGAAAAAAAAAATAAAACAAAAATTTTAAAAAAAGCTGTCGTGCCTATTACAGTAGGCTACACTTGTAGCGAGACATGCAAGCTAGTACGCATGCATGGTTAAAAAAAATTTTAATTTTTTTTTAAATTTTAATAATGGTAATATAACTTTCTTAGCGGTAATATCATCCTCTTCATCTGTAAATTCCAATTTATTCTTACAATTTTTTTACAATACGCTCTCATTAGTTATTATACATTTATACTTCATAATTCATACTTGTTACTACCTTACTACAATTACAATTATTCAATTGCAAATATCATCATCATCTTGATTATATTTCTTTCTTCTCGGTTCTCACTAGTCACTACTAAATTTTTTAATCCTACTATATTATGGATTCTCGCGATTCTTTTTCTCAAAATCCTATTTTCAAT